ATTTTCAGATTCAAAAAAGGGATAGTAAACCTTAAATTATAAGTTATATTTATATATTTTAATAAAAAAATATCACACAATTACTATTTTCTTTGCCAAATTCTAAATTTTTAGATTTTTATTTATGTAATTTTAAACTTTTTAGAGTATTCTGTCTAATTTTCAAAACTTTTTTTTGTAATACTTCATGTAATAAACTAATAATACAGAGATGTTTCATATATTTTATTAATTTTATTTAAATTGTTGAGCTATAGATAGTTCATGGGGTTTTAGGATAGAATAGAAGTATGATTAGTATAGATTATAATTTAAATTAAAAATTTAAATAGTTTAGTGTAATTTTGACTATGGAAAGCTTTCCTGAACTCGTGCTTTTAAAGGGAGTATGATTTTTTATTTTTCTTAATTTTTAATAATTTTTAGAATGACTTTTGTCTCTTTAATTTATTTGGTGGATCTTGTAAATATCTCATCCACATTATGTACATTTGTTGGTCTACGTTGTTCCCGATTTCGACCTTTGTGGTAGACGTTATTTGTCTCATTAATTTAGACGTCCTTCATTTTGTAGACGTTTATAAATTTAGTATTTAATAATTTTATTTAGCTTTATATTTTAATTTAAATTGTATCATTATCTTCATACTATGTATATCCAATAAGAATTCATTAATTTATCAACTTACTCTTACTTAAATGAAATAATATTTAAATTCTAAGGGTATTTTTGTCTACCGAAAGATTTTCCTGAAGATGTGCTTTTATCGTGATTTATATTATATTATATCATATCATATTCCCTTTAAAAGTACGAGTTGAGAAAAATCTTTTCATGTTTGATATAATTTAAATCTCTTACTTATTTCAATTTGCAGAGAAATCTAAAAAATATATGCTAACAGCACCTAAAAGTTTTTTGACCTTGTAAAAAATACCCTCAAGATAAACCTCTAAAAAATTATAAAACTCTAAATTTTTTACAAATTGTAAGATAAAACCCTCAAGACTGTAAATTTTATAAAAATTCTGATAATTTTCAACCTAACAGTACATTAAAAATATAGGAGTTACAAATATCCCCTACATAATTTATAATTTATAGAAAATACCTTTAAAGTTTTAAAAATTACAAAAAACACTCAAAATTCAAATTTTACAAAAAAACACTCTGAGAATTTCAAACTCATTAGTAAATTAAAAATATAGGAATTATAAATAGTCTATAAAAAATTTACAATCTATGGAAAAGGCTTATAAGTTTAAAAAATTACAAAAAACCCCCTAATATTTATAATTTATAAAAAAAATACCATGAGAATTTCTAACCTATAGACACTAAAATGAATATACAAAATTACTAGCAACCCCTAGAAAATAAAAAATTTACAAAAAATGTCATACTCCCTTTAAAAGTATAAGTTTAGGAAAAACTTTTCTTGGTTAATATTACCCATAACGTTTTTAAAATGGACATAACTAATTAAAAATTTATTAAATTTGAAATTAAAAAACAAACTTAAAGTTTAGTATATTGCAAATTACCCCTTCAAAGTTTGTAAATTTCCAATCTTTTTTTTTGTAGTTCCTTGATTTTAATGTAATTTTAAATAGTTTTGTGTATTTGTTAATTATAAATTTTTAGGGTGTTTGTTTTTATAATTTCAAAAACTTTTGAGGGTATTTCTTTTGTAGTTTTCTAAATTTTCATTGTGTTTTTAGTGTAATGCATGATACATCAATTAATGATGATATTGAAGAGTAAGTCGTTCTTAAGATGTATTAGGCTATAGTTAAGTGTGATCAATTAATGATGATATTGAAGAGTAAGTCGTTCTTAAGATGTATTAGGCTATAGTTAAGTGTGCACATCACTATTCCTATCTTAAGATGTATTAGGCTATAGTTAAGTGTGCACATCACTATTCCTAGGCAGTATAGTTTATACATGCCAAAATTTTTAAATAATCTATATGGTGGTTAAAAGGTTTTTGACTTTAATGTACTATTTTTTATAAATTATATTTAATGTGAACCCACTATATAATTTTAACTATGGTCATTATAATTTTAATATGTTTAATTGATTGACTATAATATGAATGAAATCACAACTAAAAGTTAATGTGAATATAAGTCAAACCACAACTAAAAGTTTAATGAACATATTACAAGTAAATTCATATGCAAAATTTGTTTGCGAATTGAATGACCACACATCTTTTAAAAACTTCAAGATACTAATAAACAAAGATATTATACTAGATCAATGTGTTTATAACTCATAAATAGTAGATCACGTAATGATAGTCTGGATTGAAAGAAACAATGATAATATTTTATTTGAAAAAGAGACTATTGTGTTGATAATCAATATCATAAAAAACTTTATTTTCAATCTATTATTATCAATTTAAATAATCATGATATTAGACCACGTGCAGTACATCTGCAATCTAACTAGTATATGATATATATCAAAAAGGTCGTAGATTCTCCCTTCTCTCTCCCCTCCCCGTTTCTCTCTCCTCGAGTTAAATTCCAGCACCCAGCCCATCGACATCTCCCTCCCTTTCCCCAAATCTCTCTCTCTCTCTCTCATCAAACCCTAATTAGCTCGATCCCCCAATTCAAAGACAGGGAATGGACTCAGAGGACGACATGCACGACGCCAACGATCTCGACTCGATCGACGACGATTTCTACAGCGGCGAGACCGGGATTGGGAGCGATGACGGAGACGGCGACTACGATTTCGTTGATAATGATTCCGATGATTCGGAGGATATTACTTCTCATCGGCAGCAGGTGATCGAATTGGATTGATAAATATTGGGGTTTTTCAAGGTTGCGTGATGTTTTTGAGCTGGATCTTGTAGGATTTGGATTTGTATGTAAGTGAAATGGACTGATTATTAATTGAAACAGGTAGGAGAAGTCTAATGATAAAGGAGTAGTTTTGTCTATTGGTTTATTCTGTTTTAAGGACAGATTAGCATCTTTGGCTGTTTTGTTGAGAGAAATAAGAGCTGCAAAAGCAAATACTGCTATCACATTTATATTTCATACTTTTGGTTAATAGCATTGTGATTAGAAGGATAAGCAAACTTACAATTTGCAGAAAAAGCTGAAGGAAATGCTGCAGCCAGTTGGGTGGGTGCATCCATTGGTGGGAGCGATAGGTGCAGCTTTCCAGAAAGGAAATAGTAGACAGACAGCACATTCTAACCCCTCAAAATTAACTTTCCAATTCAATCTAGAGAAAACCATCTCGAACTGTTGCAAATCATATAGCTTTTGCACCAATTAGTTTTCAACCAAAAGCTGAATTTGCATTGGAAATACATTTTCTGCAATACAATTAGAGGTACCTAAACAATGAGTGTGAATTTGATTACCAGATGTTGCATGGAAATTTGCTACTTTGAGCGCAATTTCTAATTATTAGGCATTGCAACACTTGTGCTATTCATGTGGGTCTGGATTGTGAAAGGGCCCCCCTAGAACCTGGGGTTGGCTGGTAATAAGCCAAGGTTCCTCTCGCCAAAAAAAAGGCAACCCCATTTCACCTGAGTTTGATTATGACTAGAGTTTGTGGTAGTAATACATGTGCCTAAGCAGCCAAATTTGTCAAATAGGACTGCCTGTTTTGTGAGAATGCGTTCCATAAATGTTTATGGATCCTCCTCTTATTGCTTGCCTTGGTTGTTCTTTATGGCAACATATATGGGCAGCAGTCATACTATCTTTTTCTGAAATTTACAGTGGTATTAACTCATTAGCGTCAAACCTTTGTTGGCTAACTTTTGTCAGAATTCAATTCCTGTATGTGGATCATGATGTTATTATGATATAAAGAAGGTTTTTTTTAAGATTTGCTTCTATCTAAACGGAGCGTTGGATACAGATTGTAGTTGGGACTCATGTTAGGAGTGTTAAAGGAAGTATTGGAATATGATAATTTTTGCGCACAGTTCGCTTGTAATTATAAAGTTGTTTTTGATGTACTGAAATCTAAATCGGCTCTGTGCTCAATCTCGAAAGGCATGAGTTAGTAGGCTTTTGCAGCGATGTGCCAGAATATTTGCTCCTTCAAAATTTCGCAAAACAAAAGCTATAAAGATTCAGCTAGTAAAATGGCATTCATGTAGTTATCTGCATGTATTTGATCATATCATCATATTGATGTAACGGAGGCCTTAGTTTTTGAGTGCATACTCTTCATCATGTCATTTGTATGTTGTGTATTAACTTCTCTCCTTATGCAGATGCAAAATCGATTTACGTAATCATACATTAGCCTGGTTAGGAGATGTAGTGTGATGAAGCTACGCGATAGCTACTGTACTGTGCATTGGGGATCTGGAACTGCCAGTAAAAGTTGTATGTATTGCTAAATGGTTGTGGATTGCAGGAGCCGGAATACTTTAAAACCCAAAAAACTCTGTGCAACCTAAACTAATTTGTGTTGCTTTATGGAAGAGAAACCTAGCAATGTGCCATTATGAAGCTTACTAAGGAATACGGATATGGGCAGATAACTCCTTTCTGGAAAGGATTCCATAGAAGTTGTGAATTACATAAATGAAAGTCTATTAATTAAGGTCTATTAGTAAATTGAAAGTAATGACTTGATGGAAGCAGTAGCTAGTGCTAGGAAATATGGTCGGCCCATTTTTTTCCGCTTTACCTTGTTTCTTGAAGTTGAATACTGTTCAACCTTTCTTTTAGAATTTTTCTTAGTCTATGTAAGACTAGGAAATTTGGAGGTTACTCCTTTATTGTATGAGCTTAATACTAAAACATAATAGATATACATAATCCTTCTAACATTTATGGAAACTATTCTGTTGTTGTAAAAAGCTTGAAAAAGCCTTACTAATGATCTACTATAGCTGACACAAATCACTAGCTGTTTTGCTTCTGCCAAAAGCTTTAGTAAGAAGTCCCTTATGCACATAAAACCTTGAAGTGTTACTTAGTCCTCTTCAACCTGTTTCTAGTGTGTTAAAGTGGAATCAAACATTCAAGTTCAGTTCTTGATGCATTTAGTTCGCCAGGAACTATAGTTTCATAAAGTAGTATTCTACGGTTTACTACCTTTCAGGGTCTCTGCAACGACCAATAATTATGTTATTTAGGAAAAGATCTTGTAATATTGAAAGCTTTCACAAGTGTTGAAAAGCTTTTTCTTAATTATATCATAATTATTGTGTAAAACTCTTCCATCCATTTGCCAAATTTCTTACATCTTTGTTTCTATGTTCTTGATTATTGTATCAATACTCAATTCTTCTCTGTGTTCTTTGAAACTGTAAATGATTGATGCTCTGCTTTTGTAAGCGGTTTGAGTAAATTTATTGCATTAAACTAATATAACTCATTTAAAAAAACATCTTCAATTTTTATTACATTTTTATTTTTATTTTGAAAAAAGTTATCAAATTTTTTACGCTTTAACCCTTTGTTTTGTCTTCCCATGTTTGTATTTACCACAGTATGTTTTGGTATTACTTACATATATCTTCTCGAGCCTTGTGATGGCCTTTCTTGACTCCTGTATAGTATATTGAATTGACTAAATCTTAATAAGCACATTGTTTTCATTACTTTCTTGAGCTATTCTCTTAGATATTTATTAGTTATTTGTATTTTTCTTTCAAATGCTTCAAATAAATTATTCCTCATTCCTTATAAGCTTGAATTAACGAAACCTCTTTTTATCGCAATTTATCATTTTTTTTTCTATCTTGTCTTTTTGTTATTTAACATTTTAAATTTACTTGAAAATCCCCTTCGTGTTTATTTGCTACTAAAGCCTCACTGGAGCCCCTAAACCCCTAGCCATATCTTGCAGCTTCACTCGGTTTTTTGCTTTCCACAATGTTTGAATTTTCTAATATCAATGGAATATGATGTATTTGAGCCTCTTTTTTATGTGTTCCTCGAATTGAAATTACTGCCATGTGGAAAGTTATTAATCTTCTTGCGTATGCTTGCCCTGGTCTAGGATAATTTGGATGACTCCAACTAATATTTTAGGGTTACGGCAAAGCCCATGTTGGAAATATAGTTTCCTTGGTGACGAAATTGTCAAATCATTAACGGAGTCTAGCTCCTTAGTGGACAACTATGTAACTTGTGTACTGCTATCATGTAATTGTACCCACCTGCCAGTTCGACACTCGTACCGGACATCGACACTTCCTAGCACGCTACTTGGATATCTGCATACACTTATCCAAATGTGTCTGCAGTTATATAGTATGTAATATGAATGTGTTTTAATTTAAAACGCCATCATACACTTCATGCATGTATTTTCCTACACTTGTTTTGTTATTAATGTCACATATTTGAGATATCCATTTATTTTCATTTGTACACCAAGTACTGTAGCAGAAAAATCCTATAAAATATGACTTGTACAAAGCTATGTTTAGATGGCTTCTGTAATACTTTGTACAAAGTTGAAGAGTAAAGTCATGTTCCTCTTGCAAAGTCATAAAAATGTATGGCAGGTTTAACAATTAACATACATGTAATCATTATATGTTCTATATCAGTACAAATAATAGTTCAGACTCTTGAATGCATGAACATGTATATATACTCTCTTTGTTGTTGTAATATTATTACAATGCACATACATTCAAATATGATGTTGTCGTGTCGCTGCACTTTACTTTTTGAAGGATTAAGTAGACAACAGCTTTTTTCATGAATTTACTAATTTCATGGTCTTTCTGCGTCTATGATGTTATTTTATCTATTATGTTATTTCAACTGACACAACTTTTTGATAATTGCAGCAGAATTACACCATACTGAGTGATGACGATATACGGCAACATCAAGAAGAAGATATAAATAGGGTGTCTACAGTACTTTCCATATCGAGGGTTTCAGCATGCATCCTTCTTCGTTATTATAACTGGTAAGATAGTTTTCACATTTGGGAAGAGCATACTCGTGCTGGTAATTCTAAAGTTCTGCATATCCTCATGTCTTGGTAATTTGTTGATTTCATGTTGTGGTCTGCATATCCTCATGTCTAAAGTTCTTCACTCCATTATCATTTTTGACAAATCTACATAAAGTGGGGGTAAACACTGTTTGATATGCATTTTCTTTGTATACTTCGAACTATTGGGATATTGGTTTCGCTTTGTACTTTGTTCAACATTAGTTGATTTTGGGTTGGGTGACAGCTTCTGAGCCCTAGTTTGAGATAAAATGTATTAGATGCAACTAAACTCAAGAAAGGTAATTTATAAAAATAGCATACCTACTTTGAAACATATGTAAAATATAATTGAGATAAAAAAATTCTTTAGTAAAATCACTAGCTGGTTAGGGTGGGTAGCTAAATTACATGGGTATGGGTGCTGGGGCGGGGATAGGTACTGGATACTGATAATTTGTAAAAGATAGGGTATGGGACATGTCTACAAACACATGTATATGTAATAATAATTTACATGGGATCAATATTAATTTTTTCGTTTCATGTGCTATGACATGAAATTCCTGTAATATTTATGTTACTTTTAAAAGATAGATTTATAAATTAGAAAATTGCTTGTTTTCTAACTTGATATCCAAAATACCTTTATAATCATAGTTTTGAACTGGTTAGAGATAACAGCGAACCCAACTTATGCCCAACGAGTTTCAAGAATTGCATGTGTATTGTCAAAGAAGTATATGATTAGTATTTAACTTAAAACATGTATTATATGATTGAGTACACGTGTGAATAAGTGTATGCAAATATCCACGTAGTGTCCACTGAAGCTTTGGTGTTGGGTACGAGTACGACATGGGTGCGTACCCAGGTACAGTTCAAGTAGAAGTACGCATGCAACATAAGTGAGTCGGCTTTGTCCCCATTAGATACCTGTTATGGCGTCAGGCTTATGTCTTTGCGCCTTGCACACAAATATGCACTTCAATAAGAAAACCTTTCAATTCCAATCGTGTCCTTGAATGGATGCTTTAAACTTGAAATATTCAAAGCTTTTAGTTAACATATCTTCAATCTCAAATTGTTCAGTTTCATGATTGGAGTTCTTAGCATCCAATATCCAGTCTACAATCCTTAATTTGAAACTGTAAAAGTTAAACTAATGAATTCTGATATTTATTCTGTTGGCCTGACTGTGATATTCTTCTTTTGTTCTACTTTGTTTTACCTGTTACAGGAGTGTCAGTAAGGTGCATGATGAGTGGTTTGCAGATGAAGAAAGAGTCCGGCGGGCTGTTGGCTTGTTGGAAAATCCTGTGGAAATGCCAAATTCGAAGGAAGTATGTATTGTTACTTTTGTTTTTGTTTTTGTTTTTGAGCTTATTCTTTGTGATTAGTCTTGGTTATTAGATTTGATTTGTTTTCCATATTCTGGATCTTTTCCCCTGCTATGCAGCTGACATGTGGAATTTGTTTTGAAAACTATCCCCGTGATATGATGAGTGCTGCTGCTTGTGGCCATCCATATTGTGGTGCATGCTGGAGAGGTTTGTTTACCCTCTGATATTGATCATTGGATATTAGTATAGGGGGAAAAACTAAGCATAACTATATGTTTGTATTTATTTCTAGGGTTTTTTGTATATATACCCTCAAATCTTCAATATTTGCAAAATTAGCCCTCAAATCTTGGTATTTGCAAAATTACCCCTCAAAACTAGCATATTAGGTATTTTTACATCTCCAACTTAAGAATGTTGGCTTTTAAACAACGCAATGTCAAAATTTTCAGTAATTTCAAATAGGTTTATAACAATTTCCCATTTAAAACTAATTGTTAAGTGAAAAGGGTAAAAATTATCAGTGTGAGAGAATTGGGGGGAAAGTTTGCAAATACCAAGATTTGGAGGGTAATTTTGCAAATTGGAATTTTTTGAGGGGTATATATATGCAAAACCCCCCTTATTTCTATCAGCAAATTAAGGCATCTTCAGTGTTTCTTGTTTTCTTTTTTTAAGAGAGTAGATCCATTATAGGACCTGCAAATAATTCATGAAAATTTCTTTATGGATGAGTTCAAGTCTAACTTATGGTAGGATATTATTTTTCATAACCTACGAATCATATCATACGATATACAGATTTTATTGTAAAGATAGATTGTTCCAATCGGTAGGTGTGCAAGATACTATTTATTTCCTTATATATGACATCAGATTGTAAGTTATGCTTATCTTTCAGAAGATCATAATATATTACAACAACGACTTGATGCATAGATAAGAAAATATGAAATCGTCTACTATTTGGGTTTTACTCCCAATCCTTCCAAAACCATAGTTATATAGTATTTAGTATGTAGTGGGTCGTTGTATGAATTTGGGTAGGCAATTTGCTATTTAGAAATTCACATTTGAGAGGCGTAGCTTGATTCAGTACACAAGTTCGGTTAGTGGCATATTGTAAATTTTTTTGTGTGCGATTATAGTGTCCCAAAGTGTATAGTAGAAAACTAGAAACTAGAATTATGCATTCGATACCAGTGTTCTCAAAGGTGCACGCCTCACTACGCTTGCAATGCGGGGCGGTGGCGAAACGCCTCGTATCTGATGCAGTAGTGCCTTTGCACCTTTCATACATCCTGACTTTGCGTAGGGTGCATGTAGTAAATACCCCCATATTATTGTTAACATTTCAATTGAGTCTTTATACTCGATAATCCATATCCCAAAAAGCAAAATAAATCTATTAGGCCCTTTTAGTAGCTTTCAATTGAGGACTGGAACTAATATTTTGCTTGGATATTAGTCTTAAATCTTGATTTGGCATTTGATTTGAAAAATTATGAACCTTGCTACTACGTTGGGTGATAGCATTAGAAATTAAGACCTTACATTATGATTTTGTAGTAAGATATTGTTTATAGTGACATTTTTTATGTGAATTCCTAAACATGTTCTTTCGTGCTTGATTATCTATCTTAAAAATTTACATGTGCGGTGTCCGCGTCGCATCACTCAGGAGTGCGCATCGTGTTGCGCCTTGCGCATGTGCGCCTAAAGATACTTTGCGCCCTGCATTGCAACTCACGCATTGACAACACTGTTGAATACTTCTTTTTCATACAAAATATTTACATACCTCTTGTTTATGAAGTTCTTTTTTTTGTTCTGTTCTTTTAACATAGTCCGTGTTGGGGTCATGCTTTCATTTCATGTTATATTAACATAGGTATTTAGTTACAGGAAAATAATTGACTCATATGTTTTACTGTGTGCCTCACTTCACTCAATTGTCCCCATTGCATTGCGTCTTGTGCATGTGCGCTTAAAGAGGCTTCATGTCCTGCATACTTGTAAGCGGTACACTAATGTTAGAGAGCAAATTCGTGTATCGGAGGGAATTGGTTCGCAAATGTATCTGAAATCGGTTCGCAGGAATTGTACAAAGGTTTGAGGAGGGGTCCTAGGAATTGCTTGAGGAGGGGTCCTGGGAATTGTGCAACTATGTCCAAAACGACCTAGGCCTTGATGGGATCCTCAATTAGGTTTATGTATCAGATCTGAATGTAAAAGATTGTTTCTAAAGCCTTTGAGCTCGAGCCCACCCCCCATGCGGCCCCGCCTCCCAACCATACACCAAAGTAGAAAGAAAAAAAACTCTTTGTTAGAGGTAGTGTAATGTGGTAACCTACCTTCAACTGAGGATATCATGAGGGAAAACAAGCTAACTTAATCCAGGGTAAAATGGGAAATATATGTTCAAGATGGCTTGGGCACTTCAACATACATCAATAAGAGCTCCAATTAGGCAGAGCGTTGAGGTTTTCATAGTCAATGGAGCAGTGATGATTAGAGGAAGACCTAAAGGACGTGGATTTAGGTAATGGCGGAAGTATAATATAGTTGTTAAGTTTGCAGAGATGATGGCCTTAAGAATGCTGAATACATAAAATTTTTGCATGTATGCAACCCAAAGACTGGGAATAAAATGCTTTGTTTCCCCTCCTTTTCCGCTTCTCATTATTTTAGCAACAACTAAAAGTATTCTTTTTTCCCAAAGAAAAACAGTGAGCATAAGTTTGAGTGAGACTTCCAATGACTACTAATAGGTTTCTTGCATAAATTCATAATATATGGCTGTATTGGATTTCTTATTTATATCTTTTCCACCTTGAGAGTTATCCCAAGTTTTATTTGACAGGTTACATGGGCACATCAATCAATGATGGTCCAGGATGCTTAATGCTTCGATGTCCTGACCCATCTTGTGGTGCTGCTGTTGGTGAAGACATGATTAATAAATTATCTCCAGAGGAGGATAAAGAGAAGTATTCTCGCTACCTTATCAGGTCTTACATTGAAGATAACAGAAAGGTACATGTAGACACAAAATTGTGTACTAAAGTGCATTTTCTTAATCATTTTGGTTAATGATGTCATCCAGAAAGGAAACGATGATATAACTTATTAGGATTATTATTCAAAGCTCATATCATAATAGACTGCTAAGCAGTTGCATGTGATTCAAGACCACCTTGTGATGCAATGTTAGAAATGTTCTGCCTCCGACAAGATTCTTAAAATGTAAGGTAGTATATGGGGGATACAACACTAAGAAAGCACTTCAATTTTTAGTATGTGCATCAAAAGATAAAAGAAGAAATCTGAAGAAAAAAAAACGTACAAATGCTTCATTATCAGTAGGTATAATGTTGAGAGTCCTCTACCACCTCACCACCACCAAGAAAATTGTGACCATCTAGAAATCATATACGATGCGGTTTTGTCCTTGAGTCTTCCTCATATATTACATTGTGATCGTGTCAATTACTTAGTGAGAGTCGCTGCCATCAAATAATAAGCTTCATTTATTAGATCTATTCGTAATTCATTTGCCTGTGCATTTTTATACATCAGCCTGATTGGGAGCATATATGTTGAACTGTTTAATTTGAACCTGATCTGAGACCATTATGCTTTGACATTTGTTGGTGACCAATGTCTAGTGTAAAATTCAATATCTCCAAAGTATATATTTCTGTTAGACATCTCTAGATCGTACATGAATTTCAGTTGCATAGTTATTAAAGAGAGATCTCACTTATGTCAATTTTTCTTGTATTGTTTAAATCAACTTTTCACCTTTTTTTTGTAGACAAAGTGGTGTCCTGCTCCTGGCTGTGAGTTTGCTGTGGAGTTTGTTATGGGCAGTGGAAGTTATGATGTTAATTGCAATTGTTCATATGGCTTTTGCTGGAATGTGAGTTTTTTTCTGAAGGAAAATTGTTTGCACTTTCCTTCGAGAATGGCTGCTGGGTTTCTTCTCCTTAAACATGAGTTGTTTGCAATAAAACATGCAGTGTACTGAAGAAGCTCACCGCCCAGTAGACTGTGAGACAGTGGAAAAATGGATACTAAAAAATAGTGCAGAGTCAGAGAACATGAATTGGTAGGACATAATTGAAACATTAGTTTTTGTTTTAATTTACTAATATCTTCTGGAAATATTTTTTTCCCCACGTCGTTAACTTGCGACAGTTTTGTTTCTTCACCTTCCAAAGTTTAATGTCATTCTCCTTTTCCTCCTAGTGTTGTTTATTGTGAATTATATTTATTTGTTTCATTATTTGTATATTATTAGTTTCATATTCTGAATATTATTTCAGGATATTGGCTAATTCAAAGCCTTGCCCGAAATGCAAGCGGCCAATTGAGAAGAACCAGGGATGCATGCATATTACATGTACACCCCCTTGCAAATTTGAGTTTTGCTGGTAAATAATTGCTGCCTTGGGAACCAATTGAATTTTTTTAATAGCACGTCTTCATCGTACTTTTTGTGTCATGTCTATGAATCAGGTTATGTCTTGGTGCCTGGTCAGAACATGGAGAGAGGACTGGCGGTTTCTATGCTTGTAATCGCTATGAAGCAGCAAAGCAGGAGGGGGCAGTACGTTCATTTTCATTTTCCTGTTTCTCATGTCATAGCATTTGTTTATAACTCTTAAATTATCATTAATGTTTTGTTAATCTCGAATTGATCCAGTATGATGAATCTGAAAGGAGGAGGGAAATGGCCAAGAATTCTCTGGAGAGGTATACCCATTACTATGAAAGATGGGCAACCAACCAGTCAGTAAGTAGAACTCTCCAGCTATAAGTTAAATGCTTTGCATTGACAATTTCTAACTTTCTGTTTTTCATTATTTGTGTCCTTTTGACAAACATATTTATATCATTTATTTCTTTCTTTTTCTCCCCTTGGTCCTTGACCTATGAACATATTGGTCTACAATCAAATTACTTACCTATATTCCTTGCACTTAGCAAACTTCACTAGTGCTATACTTTATTTTTTTGCCAGTACAGCCTGTCCCAAGCCAAGATAAAAGAGGGTTGTGTTAGATAGCTGACGACTAGCATAAAACATAGTTGAAGTCACTTGACATAAATCCTATAGAATATTCATTGGGGCATCCCCACTGCAACGCACTGCAGTGATGCCACCCGATGTAATGATAAGTAGGCAATGGTGGATCGCTAGGACGTTCACGTGGAAGCGACACATTACTCAATGTTGCTCCTGTGTAGTGACAAGTAAGCAAGAGTGTTTTAAGAAACTACAATCCTCTAATTGGTTGCCAAATAGTATTATAAATAGATTTGAACATTATAAGAGAGAAAATGGTATGAGACTTTTATAGGAGAATATAATTAGGTTAGCTACTTTGAACATTGGTACACTCACCGGAAAGATGGTGGCATTAGTTGATACCGTGATTAGAAGAAATATTAGCATAATTTGTCTACAAGAAACCAAACACATAGGTAAGTAATTCTAGAGAAATGAAAAGACCGGATATAAACTTTGATACAAGGGAAAAAGAGAAGAATAGAAATGGAGTTGGAATACTTGTGGACAACATAATAAAAGATAGTGTTGTAGATGTAGAAGAGTTGGAGATAGAATAATACTAATAAAAATTATATTAGGCTTGGAGGTTATTAATGCTATTAGTGCTTCCGCACCACAAATAGTGTTGTCCGAGAATGCTAAAAGGGAATTTTGGGATAACTTAGATGATTTGGTTAGTATAAGAATTCCTATAGGAGAGAAGACATTTTTTAAACATGTCAACAAGGAGAGTAATGAATATGAGAGAATATATGGAGGTTTTGAGTATGAAGATAGGAATAATATGAGAGAAACAATTTTAGATTTTTGCAATGTTATAGGATTTGATAATAGCAAATACAAAATTTAGAAAAAGGGATGAACACTTAATAACTTTTAAAAATAGACCTAACAATAGTCAAATAGACTTTTTTTTTCTTATTATGAGGGTGAATAGGTTAACAAGCAAAAATTATAAAATTATATTGGAAGAGAGTTTAACTACACAACGTAGGTTAATGGTATAAAAATTTCTATTATAAAGCGGAGTAGAAAAACTGAGATGACCATGAGACTAATAACTAAATAGTAGAACTTAGAAGGAGAGAATTTAGTGTATTTTAAAGATAAGATAATGAAGGAATTTATATGAAATATAAATAATAATACTAATATTATATGAAATAGTATGTCTTCTTTTATTAAGAAGGTGACCAACATATTCTAGAAGAATAGACGGGTTGAAAATTAGATAGGAAAGAGAGTTGATGGTGAAACAAAAAAGTTCAAAAGAGTGATTAGAGGGGAAAAAAGAAAGAAAGAAAATATTATATAAAGATTAACATAGGTTTAGGAGTGAGGAAAACTTTAAGAAATATAAACTAGTAAGGAAGCAAAACAGAATGGTCAATGAGACTAAATATAAGGCTTATGAGAATTTCTCTAACAAGTTAGAATCCCAGGGGGAGGGAGGAACACACACATATATAATATGTATATATGTATGTATATAGGCTTGCTAAGATGAGAGAAAGGAAGAGTATAAACTTGAGTAATATTATATGTATCAAGAGTGAAGATCAAAGAGGTTTAGTAACTGACGAAGAAATAAAAGCTTTGTAGAGGAGTTACTTTCATAAATTATTTAATGATAGCAAATAGGTGAGCTACATAGAGAATGTGATCATATAGTACATGATTTGAAACTATAGACATCGTTGAAGATTAGGATTAGTAAGGTTAAAGATGTTTTTAAAAAAATAAAAAGTGAAAGAGCTGTAGGACTGGCAATATTCTTATTGAAGTTTGAAAATGCCTTTGAAGGTATAGGCTCACGATGGTTAAATAAATTATTTAATAAGGTTATTGAGACAGAATGCTCAATGAGTGGATGATTAGTACTTTGATACCGGTATACAAGAATAAAAGAGATGAGCAACTATCATGACATTAAACTCAGTCATAATATGAAATTTTGCGTGAGCGTAATTAAGGAAAGACTATTAAAAGAGAAGTATATCGGAAAACAAATTTAGTTTTATGTTCGGGAGGTCAACTATAGAACAAAAATATAGTACATGAAATGTTTTTTTAGTAAAACTAAAAAGAGAAATGAGCCTCTAGTACATACTGATGGTCAAAAGCATCTAAAAGTAATCACATTCGTTATTTAGGTTCAGTCATTCATAATGATGGTGAGATTGTGGATGGTGTTGTCCATTGAATCAAATCAGAATGGTTAAAATGGAGGAGTGCTTTGGGAGTTTTATGTGATCGTGGAGTACCAATGGTGTCGTTTGGTAAGGTGTTAAGAGAGAAGGGTTAAGGTAAATGGCTAACCTAGTTGATCCTTCATGAGGGGTTAAAAATAATTTAATTTTGTTTGTATTGGATAGTTAACGGAAGGATTAAGGATAATCCCCCTTATATTTTTATTGTATGTTTACTACTAATTATTAAATTAAAACAAACACAACTATGGTTTCCATTGTCAATAGAACATTATATTTTTAATACATCATTCATTGTGTAGTATGATTTTTAAACAAATAAAATATTACTGTCATTAGTCATATCACCTTTCCATTTGTGCTTTCAAGAATCAAGTTTTTGAATCAAATTGTCAATTTTTAAAAAGTGATTTTAAAATCGACTTTCAATTTTCTAAACACCTTTTACTCATTGTATTCTCATAAAATCAAATGTTAGAAAAGAAAACTCAATATTTACATATTAGTCAAAAGATTTAATCATTGCTAATATAAGTAAAAATAAGGTTTACAATGAGTTACATGATAAATGCCAAAACAACATGATGATGCCTCTTTTGAAATTTCTGTGTGGCAGGATAATGACTATAGCTCAAAAGATTTTTTAGTTAACATTTTTCAAATTATAGTACATGCCCTTGGGAGAATGACAGGATATCTCTTACTCTGTCTATTTTGGCCGAGTAGTAAACTCACCAAAATGGCTAGGTCAATGAGACTTAAACCATGAAAGGGCATAACTAACCCTTTGATCAAAAATTGCATTTGGCAGGTTAACAATGGGTTAAACCCACTTAAACACGTCACTAGCTCATATCCAAAGGCATCATATGTGACTAAAGGAAAAAATATCTATATAACGATTATAAGACCAAAAATGCTTTATAGATCAGAATGTTGAGTAATTTAAACATGCGTAAAAAATGTGTAGCAGAAATGAGGCATGATGATCTTGTGTGTCCACACTAAAAGATACAACAATGTCAGAAAACTTTTATATTAGCCCTAAAAGATAACAGAAGAGTCGAAAACAAAACGGGAAGCAAAACTAGGTGAAGCAGCGATGACGGGCAGTATGACTGTCCATTCCCACCGGTAGATCCTTAGCTGGTATACCGGCTGGTCAGATTGGTCGGTCTGAATGGGTATGAGAAGTTTTGACAATTTTTTATTTGGTTAGAACTCCTAATGAGTTTGTATTTGGTTTTGGACTTATAAAAGAGGTCTTCAATGTCTAGAGTTAGATGATTGAAGCTTAGGAAAGTTACATATTATGTAAGAGAGATAAAGAGAACAAAGGAGAGAAATCTAGGATTTTGAGAAATCTTTTGGTGAGATTGGGAGAGAGTTTCTTGTGGAATCTTTAGAGATCGCAAGACATATTGTATTTTTTTAATCTCTAATATAAAGAAGACTCGAATCTCTTTCGTGAATGTAGGCGATTGCCCACGTAAGATCCATGTCTTTTTGCTCTTGTTCTATTTCCTTTTCTTGTTCTATTTTTTTGTGGTATATTGCTATTCTATTTTGTTCGAACTGGTAGTTTCTTGCTGTTTCTACATAGCCTGGTGATCGATTGGTCTACAAAAGGGGATATCATATTAAACTAATTAATATAAAGAAAAGGCAAAATAGGAGTTAGGCATTACGGTAGGTAGTTTGACTTCCTAGATTGATGATTTAAGGATACTATCTGCACGGTGGATGACACGAGGTGTGACGCTGCGGGTGTAGGAACAGTCACGGTGGCGGGAAGAAGGGGGCGCATGGTCCCTTGGATAACATTCGGTTAGTTCTGAAGGTGAGGGAGAATTTGATATCTATTGGAGTGTTTAGTTTTATGGGATACTAAATCCAAGTGCACAGAGGAGTCATCATTGTATTTTGCGGAAGGAATCCTATCCTAGTTGGAAAGAAATGTGGAAATGACTTGTATCCGGTGTTTGAAGAAGCTCGTGTTTAAGGTGGAGCTTCGTGAGTCAAGAGGGGGTGTATGATCTTGAGGAAGAGAAGCTGGCGATGAATTTGGGTTCCGAGGGAGAGCCAAAATGGTAGTCCGAATCCATGTGGAGGAGTCACGATGAAGTCTGCAACAAGTCGACAACTAGCTTTAGAGTCTGCAGCAATGGAGGTTGATGTCATATCATAGAAGGCTTGACATCAATGCGCGAGCGGTGAATGCTCCAGTGCCCTTCGGGAGAGGGGGCTTCAGGTATTTCTCGAAGGTGTTCATTCTCTACAATTTTACAAGTTTATAGTGGACGGTTACAGGGAAGGATTGATGTTTTCAATGGTAGTTTTATACAAACCTAAAGTGGAGATTGTTAGAAAATAACCTTATATTTCAGCCCTGGAAGACAACAAAAGAGTCGGAGACGAAGCGTGGAGTAAAAAGAGGCGAAATAGTGACGATGGGCAGTAGGATTGGTCGGTCCCACTATTAGGATCCTCTGCCGGTGATACGGGCCAGTCAGACTGACTGCTTAGACCGATCAGTCTGATCGATTATTGACAATTTTGTTAGTTTCTTGCTTTGGTCTGTTTCAGAATTCTAGCCGGGTTAGGACTCCTATCAGGTTATGTATCCGATTTTGATGTTTATAATAAGGGTATCCCGGGTCTAAGGTTAGAAGATTGAAGCCTAGAAAAATTGCATATTGTAAAAGTGAGGTAGAGAGAACTAAGAAGATAAATCTAGGGTTTTGAGTAATCTTTTGGTGAGATTGAGAGAGAGTTTCTTGTGGAATCTTTAGAGATGAAAAGAAAGATTGTATTTTCTAGTCTCCGATATTAAAAAGGCTTAAATCTCTCTTATGGAGGTAGGCGAATGCTGAATAACGTAAAATCTTGTCTTTGTGCTCTTGTTCGGTGGTGTATTGCTATTATCTTTTGTTCGAACGGGTAGTTTCTTGGTGTTTCCACATCGTTCGGCTATCGATTGGTCTACGAAGGAGGAAATCTAATAAGCAATTTGGTGATGCTTCTGTAGGCTATGCTTTCGCATTGAATGTCGGTTGGTGCACAATGATTGGTGTCGGGCGTGCTAGATAAGACATGAGTGCATCTGTAGTAAATTAGAGGATGCTCCTATTGATGATAGAATGAGATAATCGCCTAAGGTTGTTTGGTCTTGTACAATAGAGATCTCTTAGTAAATCGATTAGAAATATTATAGTTAAGGGAGAAAAGGGATCTATAGGTTGTTTGGTCTTGTACAATAGAGATCTCTTAGTAAATTAGTTAGAAATATTATAGTTAGGGGAGAAAAGGGATCCATAGGTAGATCTAGGAGCAACTTGGTTAGAAGCGATTAAGAATGATATGATAATGGTTAACTTAAACAGAGAATGATAGCCTAGAATAGAGCGGAATGGAAGAATATGATTCATGTAACCGACCTCAAATATTTGGGATAGATGCTTTGTTGTTGTATATTCATTGCACTTAGTAGTTTGTCTACTATTGATTTTGTAACTGACACGGACACACCAAACTGTTGATTAGATTTCTTGCATTGTGTTATACAAGAGTAGTATACCTCCAGCAAGTCGAGAAAATTATGGTGTTATTTTGTCTGGTATTTCTGGGAAGAAAAAAATGGCTAAAGTGCCATTACTCTCTTTTTTAATTTCATATTTAATTTTTAATATGTCAAGATCATTCTACCGTTGTATCTATTTAAATTGCTTCTTTGTCCGCTTGCATGGTTTGATTTTTTTTTCCTTCTATTTTTATTGTGATGGAACTATTGCAAAATCTGATGATGGTAAGGTTACCTCTAATGTGTAGTCGGGTGTCCATTCATGATGATCAATCATTTTAGTGGTTGTTTGGACTATTGTTTATTTGATGTTCTGTTAAAAAACAAATTTCACATTATTTTTTAATCATTAGTGTCTGACATATGCAAAACGGAATTACCTTCCCTCCTTGATGCATGTTTTTTAAACCTTCTAACCTACGAAGTTTAGATGAACAATTGGAATGCTGAGGTATAGAACTTCTGTAGGGATCTTTTGTTATCATTCCATGTTGAAGTTGGGTGAAAGGTACTATTCCAAAGTAATTCCTTTAAGCCATTGATAATGTTCTAATGAACCTTTCTTACTGAAATGTTTTAATAGTTAGAAAATACACACAATTTTGATAATTCCTTTAAGCCATTGATAATGTTCTAATGAACCTTCCTTAGTGAAATGTTTTGAAAGTTATAAAATACACACAATTCTGATATATTATGCCACTGGATATACTAAGCAAGATTCCTCTTCTTCAAGTCCACTTAATCTTTTTGTGATCCTTGTTATCTAAGTGGTAATTTAGCATGAAAATTTTTCAAATTGAATGTAACAAACTTATTTTTGCTATTGGCAGTCGAGGCAGAAAGCACTTGCAGATCTACATAGCATGCAAACTGAAAAGGTATGGTTGCACTCCTGCTCATTTGTTCCTTTTCTTGTTGAATGAAGAAGTTTGATGGTTAATTTCTTTCTTTTATGGAGTTTTATCCATGATGAGTTTGAAGAAGGATATCAAGAAGTAGAGCCTTAGGGTAGGAAGAAGTAGTTTTGGATCATGTTATGTTGTACGTCTTTCAGTTTCAGACAGGGTGTTGCATACTTGAATGATTGTGAGATCATGAGATACAACCTTTGCTCTTAAGGAAGATTTTTAAGGACTGGTGGGTGGTAGCAGAGCTGGAGTACTGGTTAGGAATTTCTACTAGTGTAAAATAAAGATTAAGATATAACACAGAAAATGAGATGCCTTACCCTAGTTGGGATTTGATGGTGAAATAATTGGAGTGTTTTTATATTTGCATATTCCCAAATGGAGGAGGCAGAGAAGGAAAAAAGAAATGTCTGATCCTGCAACCCCTTCTTCAATACCTTCCCACCACCAAAATAGGGTAAACCGAAAAGCAGCATAATAAAAAATCTTAATTCTCATGATGACACCAAGTTCACTTCACTAACAAACCAGTTAATAACTCCCTGAGAGAGAACTTGACTAGAGTTTCGGACAACTTTTCCTTAAAAATCCTAGCTATGATTTAATTCTTGAGTTTATGGAAATTATTGTATATACGAGATAACCTCTTTGCACATATCTGATGTGGGCGTATTTTGTTGTGCTACATACTCGCTCATCTAGGATCCCATGACAACCTTGTCATGCTAAAATTTCACCAGATGATGTTGAATTCTGGAGTTGTCCATTCTAGAGGTGACCCCACAACATCTCTGTGTGGCGTGGTCGCCTGTTTATTCCTTCTGCTAGTGTTAGAGATTTTAGTGAGCATTTTTTAGGAGGTCAACCACCCTGAACTTTACTGCTTTTTTTAGCACACTTGGCTATTTGAAAATTTCACATTTCATTCCTAAAAATGTTAGCTACAATTTAATTCTTGAGTTTATCAAATTATTATATGCAAAGGACCTCCTTGAAGTGAGAACATATCCCGTGTGGGACAAAGTTGGAGAGTTAAGCGTTAGGTGCTAGTGATGTGAATGTTGGAATTCACAAAAGGGAACAAAAAGTTGAAAATAATTTGTAATTTCTAGAGCGTATTCTCATGCTTTTCAAATTTATTTGGATCATTTGATGGGTATTTATACTAAGTACAGCAGATCATAACCATTCTTGGTAAATTGTTGCAGCTGGAGAAGTTGAGTGACAAACAGAGTCAGCCTGAATCTCAGCTCAAGTTCATAATTGAAGCCTGGTTGCAGGTAGGTGTTACATAATTAATTCCAGCTGCTCACGAGTAGGTTATATTATTGTGGCACTAAAATAGTTTCCGTGGTAAAATCTAAAATTTAATTTGCAGATAGTGGAGTGTAGGCGAGTATTGAAGTGGACATATGCCTATGGGTATTACCTTCCGGAGCATGAACATGCTAAAAGACAGTTCTTTGAATATTTGCAAGGTTTGTTCTCCTATATGGAATTTTATTTACTGAATGCTTTTACTTAAAATACCTAATTTGTCTCTAGGTGAAGCTGAGTCTGGGTTAGAACGGCTTCATCAGTGTACAGAGAAGGAACTCCAAGCCTACCTTGATGCCGAAACTCCCATGAAAGATTTCAATGACTTCCGCACAAAGCTTGCTGGACTAACCAGGTATGTGGCTTAGCCCTTTCATAGATAATGAACCTGGATTTAGGCTTGTTGTGCCACATGACACGAAGAGTGATTTTTCTGGTGTTAGAAAAATGATTGCACTGATGCTTATGACGATGTAGGATAATCATTAGGTTGATGCTAATGTGAAAGTAAACTTTGGAACAAATGGTTCAGAATTTTTTAGTCCACTGCTTTTTAACCGAGAGCAGTAATGATGGCCATAAGGTTGCGAATGGCTGGTTTTTTTGGGTTCAGTTACTGGATTCACTGACCCTGAACCAGCCTCAATTCTTAATCCTCACGATGACACCAGGATTCTTTCTTAAATCCAAACTATTAAACCTTTGCAAATTATTTTGGCTGAATGTCTGAGCAAAACTGCAAAAGCATGCCCTCACATAGAAAAGAAAACTCATCACTCCCAAAGGGTAAAAGATGGTTATTTTATCCACTTCTCAGTTGACGTGTTAAATTGTATTTCTAATTTTATACTTATATTATGAACTCGGTCCTCATAGCGTGACTCGCAACTACTTCGAGAACTTGGTTCGAGCACTAGAGTCAGGACTAAAGGATGTTGGCTCCAGCAACAATCAGGCGACATCCAGCAAGACCACAAGCTCCAAAACCCTCGGCAAAGGAAAGAGCGGAAAATTGAAGGCAGCTGGGACCAGCTCAAGATCAGGAACCGGTCCAAGTCGAAGCACAGAGGATAACAGTATGTGGTCATGTGAGCACTGCACCTATGCAAACCCTAGATCCACCAGTGTTTGCCAAATGTGTGAGCAACATCGATAAATGGGGTGAAAACAGGGTATTTCGTCACAAATCTCTTGGAAAGGACCTTCCCCCCCTCCAGTCATTAACTTGATTCAGGTTCCATTCTCATGTTGTATTATCAAAATGATAAAGTGTAGCTTCTTTGATGGTGGGAAGAAAGGCAAGTGTTCTTTGTTAATAGGGATTAAGTTAGAGAAAAGCGAAAAACTGTGTTATTATTGTATATATTTGTATGTTCAGATGGCCACGCTTGTAACATTGTATTGTTTAAAGCAGAGATGACTATATGTCCTGTTGCAGTGTCTGTGTGGTGTATTGTCGATTCAATCAACTGCGGCCTAAACACTGGCGAGAGAATGCACATTTTGAACTGTTGTGACTCACAGCTGTTGTGTTGTCCAATGTTGTTTCGTAACGTGTAACTACTACCCCGTGGTTATTCTAGTTTTCACATTTATTTGTACAATCTTCTGTTTTCTACGTACAGGCCGACCGTGTCCTTCAATTCGCTTCTTGAAAACCAGACTGAGATTGTAGTTCATGATATGTATGGTGTCGGATTTGTTCTTGTTAATTCCGGGTAAACATTCGCCAAATCAAATTAGGAGGAACTCAGTTAGGAAAGACGAGAAACCTGTTGTGTTGGGTATTTGTTTAGATATAGAAGTATTTGTTTCCTATGGCATTGTCTCTTAGTTGAGGTCGGGCGAGGATCCAATGGCTGAAACTTTTAGTCCCACGTTGGAAAATACACAAAACTTGTCGTGGCTTATGGTAGGCTGGTTATTGTTTGAGACACGTTAAAAGTCAAGTGGAATAATTGTTCCAATAGAATAATTTTATTACTTTTGGATATTTTGAGTGGGATAAGTTAGAATAAAGTGACAATTTAAAGTTTTGATTTGACAATTCATGCGGGATAATTAATAATGTGGCAACTTATTAATGCATAACATTTATTGATTAATTAATTATAAATTAATTTATCCAATTGGTTTAGTACGTTATTTAGTATGCTATTATAATATAATACATTATTCTATTTTATACTAAAACATAATAGTTATACTATAATTATTAAGTAATATTATTAATTATTATATTATATTATATTATAATAGTATGCTATATTATATAATAATTGATATAATATATAAATAATATATTTAATACAATATATCAATAATATAATATAATATAATATAATATATATTAAAG